CCCCAAAACCCCAAAACCCCAAAACCCCGTTAGATACAATCTGAATCAGAAGTAAAAATATCTTAAATAAAATTCAATTGTAATTTCGTCTAGCTTATTTAGTTAAATAATCAATCATTCATCATCGTTTCCATTCAATTTATCCCTTTAAATAAGGGCTTATATTTTATTTAGAATGTTTTGTAAAGTCTTATTCTAAATTTTATGATCCTCATACATCTCAATTACTTTTTATACAATCTCCTTTTCCCTATAAATAAGAATTCTATAATCATCAGAGGACATTCCTTTGAGTATTTCAAGTAATACTTTTTCATCTTAAGGCAGGCTTAAATCTTTTTCAAGAATAAGTGCAAGCTTTGTTGTCAAAAAAGGTCTTATGATAATATTTAAATCTCTAGTAAATGGTTTTTACTTAGTTTCATAGTCCATTGAGGCGTAAACTATCTGCATGTTAAAGGATTTAGTTATTAAGCCAATAGCAGTCATATTATTAGTACTTTAATAGGCTTTGATCAGGGACTAAAAGTCTTTGTGAGAAGGGATGAACCCTTCTTGCTTGAGAAGTATGGTAAGTATTTCAGATTTATTAAGGAATGCTAAAAGAGCCACTCCAAGTGTATCAAATTCAAATCCTCTTATGTTTATTTTTTAGTCGTCTGAAGTGTCATGACCTTTGAGGGCTTCTCTTGTGGCTTATGGATATCTGGTTAATAATTCTTGTAAGCACATAGAAGATTCATAGATTATGCAGAGAAGAATAATGTTGAACTATTAAATTATGGCAGGCTGACCATTGATAAGTAAACCATCTACAAAGAAATTTTCCTATTCATTCATTAAAACATCCCCAATACCTCTCATATCAGTTATCTGAGTATTTAAATATTCAATATTGTCATCTTAGATTGCAGGAAAAATATGATCAAGTTGATGCGTTTTTGTTAATCTCTCAAGATATCCACTTTGCTCAAATTACTGATAGATATATTCATAGGCTGAACCTTAGAGAGATCCAATTTCTTAGATAAATTTGTCTCTCATTAATTAAGAAGAATTTTGCAGTAAATCATGGGTGATTGACATATCCAATAATCTTTCTATGAAATCTGATTCTTATCTAACTATCATGACCTAAAGAGCAGTCAACAAATTATGAGAAGTCCAAATGCTAGGATATCCTTCTAGAATAGAATTAAGTGGACTAATTCTAGCCCAAGATATCAGCATTCTAAGGATCAGGCTTGCTCCATCTTCAAATCTTTCATTGTTATTGAGTATTAGAATAGAACCAGGAACTCCTTTTAATTAATTGAGGTAGTTAAGAACTTTATGGTCTTTCAAGAAGTAGCCTAGAGTAGTGTCACTTAGATCCATAGCTACAGTAAGCTGAACAACATTCAAACTACTGTAAGGAATGTCTTCACTCTCATCATATCTAGTACTATAGATTTCTACTGTATCTTGATTACTTGTTTTAACGAATAAAGCATCAATAGATTTATTTTCTTTGTAAAGCTAAAGCATCTCGAGTTCATCAGCAGTGTTAATATAATGAGCCAATTTTTCAAGTCGATTTACACTAGTATGTTTTGCTTAATAGGTAGATTAAGATTAGAACTATATCTAGATCTAATCCTCATCAACTATATTCTCGATATCAGAATCATCAAAATACTCTGACTTCTCAGGTTCAGTACTTACCTTGATATTTACCCATTCAGGCAATTTCTTGAGGTGATTTACAATCTTCATTCCTTCTCTATATTTTTCAGTCTTTTTGTTTTATATGTAAATACACCGTAGTAATCTCTCAAAATTTTTTGTGTTTGATTTTAATAGCTCATTTAGTTCGAAGAAATCAGTTTATTCTAAAATCATTAAAAGCACTTAGAAATTTTATGTCTTTATAAATGTTTCCTTGTTTAGATGTAGATTGATATAAGATAAACTAAAAGCTGATGATTGAATGATTCTCGGATATCTCTCAAATATATGAAATTTCCCTGATAGTAAAGATATTCTTTCTTATATTTTGATTGATTAGATATACTTCTGTACTACATTCGAGCAGAAGAATTCTTCTAATATGTGTGGATGATTGTTAAAAGACTCAATCCTTTCTATTATAAAACTTAATACTGAATTTATATGTTCCTTCGTCCAGAAATGCTCTAAACTAAGGAGTGCTAATAATGCTTGCCTATTTTTAAGATGAAGGCATATCTTGAGACATATATCATAGCTGAATTTAACGAGGTTCTGAGCCTCAGGATCGTCAAATGTGTGCTGAATATCATTGATTTCTAATCCATGATTGAAATTTATGCCGACTTTCATTGACTGCTCAAGAAGTTCTTCCAGATCATCTTCATACTTACCATTGAACAATATATCATGATATACAGTAAATTATGGTTTTGAAAGTAGATAAACTTCATATTCTGATACTACATTCCTCAAAGCTTATGTTATTTTTTCATCTTGGAAGTGATAAAATTGGGTAGACGACTTTATAGTTTTAAAGAATTAAGGAAGTTGGTTCCTATCAAAATAAGTGGATAAGCTTTGTCTCTATGCAATTTCTACATTTTAGTCTTTCATTTGCTCGTCATACTGTGCGCTTAAATCTCTTAATTTTGTAAATATGGGATGCTTCTCATTTAAATGTTTTTCCATTTTACTACTTAAGAGATCTGGATTTTTCTCTTTGAACATGCTAAAGATCTCAATCGTTAGTGTATTTTGATATGCTTTGGACAATCTGCTGATTTCCTATTTATCCATAGATTCAAATGCAATAAATAGAAGGTGTAGAGCCATTTATGGAATGCTTTCTATAATAAATCTATACTGTGAACTCTCATATATTTATTTTTAAGCAAATTAGCTCCATTAGGTAGCTATATCAAAGATTTATTAGCCGGAATCATATCTAAAAATCTATTAGAGTGTATATGATTGTACAATAGTCTCAATTAGTTCCATCTTATTAGTGGTTGCAATAAAGGAAATAATCTCGCTAAAATCATTAAGATTCCAGGTATAATATTGGTTCCATAGATATTCGAGTATATCTCTACTTGAACCTAAGACAGCAATCTTAAGGCCAAAAACTACATCTTAAGGTTTAAGCGGATCAGCTAAAGCATATTTTAGAGGAAATCCTTGCTATTCTACTAGATATCTTACCATTGTGAGTCTTTAATAGTATATAGCAAAGTGAAGCATATTCCAATGCTTAAAATCTGTCATTTTTTAAAGGTCTGGCTATTTTTTCTTAGTTTCATCGCTGTGTCCACTTAGTCTAATAAGATTCTTTAAGTCTAGATTCTTTTAAAGATAGTCAAGCTTTTAATAATCTCCTGATTTAACGATGGCAAAAATGTCCTCCTCAGATTTGATTGATAAGTCTTGGAAATTCTAAGGAGATATTTGAATTTTATCAAATGCCATAGGAGCTTCAGGTATCTACCAATTCTTCTTTGGTAATTTCTTTTTATGCTTTGATTAGTCACACCCCATTTTCAAATTAACAGATCAATTTAATTAGATTGATTTTATTGTACTTAAAATAATTTTATTGCTATTAAATAAATATTTACGAACCAACACTGATTCTTGTTTGAGCTCATCTCGGGGTTTTGGGGTTTTGGGGTTTTGGGG